GATTATTTTAGTGTTTCATTCAAACTGGTAGTTCTTAACAAAATGAAGATTGCTGCAGTTGTACTGCTGTTTCTCTACTTACACAATTCTCTAAAATCCCAGAAAAATGGTTCAAAAACCAATTTAGACAAATTCTAAGATTAAATTCAAATTTATAAAAAAAAAAAAACACCCACACAAAACAATCAGACAACTTATAAACAAGCACTTGGTGACGGTGGTAAGGGAAAACTGTGTATTAACAGAAAGAAACCTCAGACAGAACCAGGTTCAGAGAGAGGCAGCCATCCCTCGTGACCCTCACTCCCACATGTTTACAAATTAACCTCACATAAAGACATGGGGTCACAGGGAGTGAAAACTATTCAATTCAACTCAATTTACTTCAGTTGTATTTATATAGGAACAAATCACAACAACTGGTGCCTCAATGCGCTTTATATTGTAAGGTAAAACCCTACAGTAATAGTAAAAAGAGGAAACCCCAACAATCATATGACCCCTTCTGAGCAAGCTCTTTGCCGACAATGGGAAGGAAAAACTCCCTTGTTGGTCAGTGGTCATGACAATTTACATATCAATGATCAAGGAACTGACCGCACAGGCCACTGTTTGCCAGTGGTGCTAGTTTCACTCATTTTGTAAATTTACTTTTTATAAGGGTGGGATCCAAGTCAAAGTCACTTGGATGTGTCACGGGTGTAAGTTAGAAGGGATGATCACGGGACCAGAAAGACATGTAAAATCTTGTTAAAATAATTCATAAAATATATACTTTATTTACAGCATAAACAGAAAGAATAATTAAAAGAACATAAAACTAAACACAATAAAGGTCCACTCCGCAGCCCCCCCCCAGTCCCAATCATTGACTGTAGAAAACATTTTTTTTCTTTTCTTTTTTCTTTTCTACAGTCAATGGTCCCAATCAGTCTCCGCCACACTTAAGGCAGATAACAGTCCACTGAACTCCACCAGTGGGGCCAGGCCGACAGCGCCCTCCAGTAGTGTCCTCCACCACTCCGCTCCGCTTCCGCTAAACACAGTGAAGCAGCGGCAGTCACCCATCCTGTACCAGGGATGTCTTTATACATTTTTACAACGGGATTTACCCCGCGAGGGCAGAGCTCTAAACTCCGCCCGCCGCTGCTCTGTGCCTAAAGTGTTTTAGCTGGCGTCTTGCTGCCACCTGGGCGAAGTCTGCCATCCATGGACCGAAGGCCCTCCTGTGGCTGCGCTACTCCATTGCTCTCTCCTTCTCATCTGCATCCAGCCACACGTGTCTTCTCTGACCTACCAGACCATCTTATTGGCCAACAAGAGAGGCCTGATTGATTACTGTCCCCTGTGTCTACTTAAGGAAAGCAGGGGGCGGAGTCTCTCCGGATGAAGATCCAATAAACACAATAAAAGCATACAACACTAAAATATACTCAACATTAAAACACAACAAAGCATGCAACACTAGATAGGAAATCCTTCTTGCCCAGATGATGAGTGATGAAACATTTCTCAGACTGAAAATGCTACATCCAGATGAACAGAATCAACTTTGGGAGATTTCCTTGCGTCAAGACAATCAACAGGGTCCTGTTACTATATCAGCTTTATACTTTATACCAATCATCATAACAAGCTTTCCTTAAAAAGGCATGTTCTTGTGTGTCAATGCAGCCAAATAGTGTCACCTTTTGGGTGTTAAAGGCAGGAAAAAAGACGGAAGAGAGCCAGAGATTAATTCTAACTAATGCTTAAAAGAGGATAAAAGAGAATAATAATGTATACATTATGTGAGCTATGGCCCTATGATTTATGACAAGGGAAGTTATAAAGGAAGTAATAAAGATTTATGACAGTTATAATGTTAATGACATGTCATTCAATTATTATATATTATACCTGGGTATAATTGACAACAACATGATGAAAATATGATGATGAACATATGGAACAGCATTAGGAATATTATGTTTGAGAATATGATTCATTCATTCATAATGATGTCTTAACTTTTTAGACAGCTGTTGGCTGTGTGTGTTTGTGTGTGAGAAAATATGTTAAATGATAGTAAACAGGTTGTTGTCATTAAACGGTTGCTTTTGTGACAACAGAGGGTGATGGTGATGGGTGCAGCTGGAGGCTGCATACCCCGTTGAAAGTCTGTAACTCATTTTATGTGTTTATTTAATCCGAAAAAGGAAAATTGCAATCCAAGTGAGACTTACACACTCTACAGCTGCATGTGAGTCGACTGTCCAAGAGCAGACTCTGAAGGTGAATCTTCACACAGCAGCCAGTCTGGGCCAAATGACAAGACCTTAGACTGACATTTCAAGCACCGAGGTGAACCACAAATAAAGCAATTTTAAGAAGAGGTGGCCCTACCCAGGTCTCATCAGCCAAAATTTCACCTAATGACAATAACCATTACTCAGGGTTCGAGCCACAACCTGAAGCTCCTCCCTGAAGCACAAATAAAGCAGTTTCAAAGTGGTACCAGCCAGAAACCGGGGGGTAGCTTTTACCCGACCAATTAGAAACACAGATGTTTTTACGGCCTTCTGATATAGGGTTTGGTGTTTAGTATCCCTCACACAGCGGGGGAGTTCAGGACGCCACACTGGCGCTCTAGGTGTCAAGCTTCTGCGTTGACCAAGGAAGATTCAGAGCTGATCAAAATAGACGCCGGTGTCCTGCTGTGCTTATGATACGGTAAAGTGGAAATTTTCCTACTTTGCCAAAGATTTTTATTTTTCATGCCTCTGTGATTTTTATTTTAGATCACAGGGACAGCCTTTTGTCATGGTCCTGCATCTCTGACCCAGCGTCTTGAGCTGGTTGTAGACTCATTATTCTTTCTGGTTATTTAAGAGATTACTTAAAGCCAAACTATAAAGTCAGTACTTTATAATTTAGCGTCCTGTAGTGCATTTCAGTTTATTTTTAGCTAACCCAATTGCACTCATCGTCATGAATTAGTTTGTTGGTTGCATTATGTTTAGTTTTGCTTCCCCGGTCTCATCAGTCAGGGTATTTATGTGAAAAGTAAAGGACCATCTTTGAATCGAGGAGGGGGCCTAGTGGTACATCTTTCACCATCTTACAATGATGAGATTGCAGCCATTCCCCAACTCTTTGTGAATGGTCCTCATGGCCTTTGATCAATGGTCATTAATCAAGCATAACAACACTTACATGCTGTTATTCAAAAGCCCATGTGATAAATAACATATTAATATAATAGCTCCTCAAATATTTCCTGGACACTAACATTTTTTATTTGAGAGTTTTAAATCAATATCAATAATTCTATCAATAATTAACCTCACGGTTAATTGTTGATAGACCTCACACCCAGCTGTCCAGAGCACCTCAGGCTGAGATCAGGGATACTGCCTAAGAAACAGCTTTGTGTTTTCTTATCAAGGAAAAAATGATTTTAAAAATATGTATGTAAGATTGAGAAGACTCTTTGCTTTGCTGAAAACACTGACCTCTAGCTCACAGAGAAATCGCACAGCTATATTAGAAGAATGCTCACCAGATTTTATGCAAGCTGTAGGCGAGCTCTGCATCAACCTTTTAAAAGGTAATATCCTTATTACAGATTGCCAGTATAAAAAGAATTAAGACGATACAAGGAAAACAGACTGATGGCTAATAAATGAGATGGAGTCATGCTACTACTTCTTACTACGGCGTTACCTATCATGGTGGCAATATGTGCAATTCGTAAATAACAATCTGTTTCCATATATGTATTATCATAATAACAATAAAAATGCACAAAATGTATTTGATCTCTCCTGAACAAATCAAACGGCTACATGAAATGAATCTAAATTCAGGACAGACAAGAAGAAAGTTGAAAGTGATCTGGATTATCAGACTCAAAAGGCTACAGTGGCTGGAATGATGACGGTGAATGAATCTATAAGCCTGTCACAGTGTGAAAAAGGACCACAAGTATACACGCTGTCCGTTCTTATTTTCTTTTTTATTGTAGAGACACACTACTGACAGTCTCTTTCTCCACTTTGGTTGAGCACCCACGCGTGACACTCTGACACTCTTCTCCCACACTCCGCTCCGGCCTTACTAAGTCATAAAGGAAGAGAGAGAGCTCTCTTCGTACTTTAAGGAGGTTGAGGTGATATATCTGTGTGACCGTACAACTTCTTAGTCTACACCCTCCACTTGCCGCGTGATCACTAAGGGCCCTTGCCACTTGGCCAGTACACTTGGCCAGTAACTTGGCCAAGTGTAGTGAGTAATACAGGCATTTTATATCCCAGTGAATATTGCCTGAGTCTAGCCCCTCTGTTGTACATGCACTACTGATGTTCCTGGGCCTGGAGCAAATTTCCCTGTGATAGCCTCCCCAATGTGTGCAACTCTGAGGTCCAGAAGATACAGACTTTAAAGGTCCAACATCGTCTGTGGCTTCTTGTTACTCAAAGGGTGAAAATCCCATGGAGGTGTGGGGCACCTCCCACACTGCAAACAACAGATGGTCTAACCAGCAAACCCAATTGCACTCATCGTCATGAATTAACTTACAAATCATGGACTTTCATTCATTTCATTCATTCATTTCATTTATTTGTTCATTTCAGGCACAACAAAAATACATATATTAAATATAAAGTGCTTTAAAGTCTTACTGAGTCTGTCCACCAGTCAATCAGTCTGAGGGTGGTAGACAATGGTCCAAACAGATTTAATTCCCAGTCATTTGTATAGTTCTATTAGTGCATTAAACATGAACAATGTGCCCTGGCCAGTCAGTATCTCTTTCAGGATGCTGACTCGGGAGATGACCTGAAACAGTGCCTGCCCCACACTCTTAGCAGAAATTGTGTGCAGCACCACTGCTCGGGATGGTCTGCCATTCGCCATGGTCTGGGTACAGCCCAAGCCTGTCGTATACCCCTTTGGAACCTTACTGGTACACTGTACATCCCTCTCAGACCGAGGGAGGTTGTTGGAGGGCCAGCAACATGAAACATCTGCCCCATCTTGAACAGCAGGCTGCTGGTGGACGTGCCCGGGTTGCCCACACCTCCAACACGGCTGCCTCGGCGCTTGTTCGGCTCACGGTGAGTGAGGTGTGGTGTCTGTAGCTGCTGTGACCTGTACAAATAGAGCACAGACAAGCGGGTTGTGGATGTCCCGCTGCTTTCCTTGGCCAGTGTTATGCCAGCATCCAGGCTGGCTGGCCAGTGAGAGTCGACTCATTCTGCGGTCTCTGTAGGGAGCCCCGCAAAGAAATGCTCCTCCACCACCAGGCATAGGCAAAAGGTCGGTCCTCCGGGCCACTTTCAAACACCTTTGTCTGGCACTTAGACTGGTCCTGCAGCTGTTCCAACTGATGATATTTATCGCTGCTCAGCTTTCCAGCTGCATCCCTCCACTCTGCACACCACACAAAGCTCTTAATTCAGGTCCTGGCGTCCTACTCATATAGGGAAGGCATGATTAGATATGGTCAACAGCTTGTTCTGGTCAGCCTCCCCGACACACCCTGAAATCATTGCTCCAGCCCTCCACTGCAGCTGAGCCATGTACAAACCACATATGACTGTCATACATATTTTATTACTTCCTTTATTGCTTCAATTGCCATAAATCATAGGCCATAACTCACTTTTTAACATAAGGTATATCTTATCACTCTCTGATTCTACATCATTGGTAATAACTGCCTAAATTAAGGAGATTACAATAAATGCTTACACAGGCATCTGACAAAAATCAGTCATAATATAAACTGTAACAGTATTCACTTTAGAAGAGCTGTAGTGCTCTGAAGTGAAACCTTTAACTGACAGGACACAATTTGTGAAGCTGGGAATATTCTTCATTATGCTTGGATGTACTAAAATGAGTATTATTTGCAGATGGAACAAATATTTTTTTATTCTAGGGAAAAAGAGTCACTGGAACTGGTCACTTCAAACATGTGGGGGGGGAAAAAAGTAGTTTGGTAGGACCAAATTATCATTAAATCTACATAAAACTAAAAAAATTTATTTGGTAAGAATGATGTACAAGTGCACATAGATGATGTGGAAATTGATACATTTAATAAAAATAAATTTCTTGATGTGATAATAATTGATTAAACAGGATGAAAATAGCAATAAAATATATACATAAGAATTTCAGTGCTGAGCGAAGCAAAACATATTCCAGATCGCAAATCCATTCAGATTCTCTCCTGTCGATTTCACCGTACAGGGGTTTGGCACAATACTTATGAATGTTCACTATCATTGGCATTGGCTCTCTGTCAAACACCGCATTGAGTTTAAAATTCTGTTGCTTACCTTTAAAATCATGAACAATACTGCGCCGTGCTACCTCATTGAACTCTTTAGTCCATATATCCCCAATCAGGACAATAACTCTTAGTGCAGCTTAGATCCCGGCTGAAGACCAGAGGTGACCATGCTTTTGCCCTGCAGCCCCTAGCCTCTGGAACAATCTTCCTGCTGCTATTCGCACCTCTGATTCCATCCATTTATTTAAATCACAGTTAAAAACTTACCTGTTTGACCGAGCGTTTTTGGTTAGTTAGTGCACATTCCCTATATTTTGTCCCTATGTTATTTATCTTCTCTTGATGTACCACTGTATAAATACCCCCACCTTATATTTCTGAATACTCGGTGATTTTATCTTCTAAAT